TCCGTCATCACTCATCATCCTGATGATGGAGGCAGCAAGGACCTCTGAAACTTCTACCAGACTACACAGCGCAACAACCCAGAAGACAGCCATCTTCAGATTCACTCATCAGACGTGCTGAATCTGTAACCATAGTAATACTTACAATTTGTTTTTCTGAGTATTTATTTGATGACAACAGGTTGACAGCTTCAATGTGACCAAAATCAATGTCATGACCCAGAAGAAAGATGAATAATAACTTGCATACATACTTCTTTTTCTGATATCCATCTAATGTTTTATCACCTTTAAATTTACTTCTGATATTGGCTAATTCTTTATTTATTCTTTTAATTTCTGCTTCTTTGCTTTTACCTAGAAACAAAGAAATAAATTACCAATCAATAATTTAAACATAACATATAATCATATATAGCAAAAGGTGAAGTTGTCTGCAATGCTTAACCATGCAGAAATACGGAGGGAATGAGGTACAACTCCATGCATTCTTAACCTCCTTGAAATAATTTTTTTTAGGGTGATATCATTTGCAGGGCTTGTAGCATGCGAAGGAGAACTCAAACCAATATAAAAAGATAAGAGACAACCCAGGAGACCTTGGCAAAGATGGGTACAAAATATTCCTTCAGTGGACTAGATAATCTGGTTCAGGGTGGGGCCCTGTGGTAATCACTTTGGAAACAGTAAAAAACATCTGGGCTGCATAATAGCATTTCTTTATCAGCTAAGCAACCATCACCTTCTCATGAAATTTGTATGCAAAAGTCTTAATTAGGACCAGTCCCAGAGTTAAAAATATTTTATTCCATATCTTACAGGTCCTTCCTTGCTCAAGTAGGACTTCTTATGTTAATATAACTGTGGGAACAAACAGTGAAACTATTAAGAGGATATTCATGAAAAATCACATCATAAATCAAGGAATACAAATATTACAGATATTATGTCTCCATGACAGATCAAAAATGCACACTCAAGCTATTTCTATTTTTAACTGTTTTATTGTCCGAAGCTGGCAATCATACCTACTCAGAGCAATGAAATAAAATGTCACGTGTAGTAATTAACATTGGCAAGGATCCACCCATACTCATGCGCTATTTGTATACTGCTACTGAACACTCAAGCAGCAATTGGAGTTGTCATATCACGTCCCTCCTCAGAGATCGCAAACTGATATCATCTTCACCACCCTAAGAACCTCAAATCTCAGATACAAAAGAATGATTTAAATATGAAAAATATGCAAAGAAGTGTTTCATGGCATGATCCTGGCATCTGTCTGAAAGGACCGATAAAAACAACTAAAACATCAATCAGAATACCAAGTGCCCTGGCCAAGAGTCAAGCCAGGCACCTCTTAACTGTGCCAACCTGCTTTAAACTGTATAATAAATTAAACACTTCAATCTTAGAAGCCTCCCTCCACAACTGTTGTTTCCAACCAGCATTGTTAGAAATGATGATTCAGTGAATAATTGCCAAGTTATTATCACAAAATGGATGCTGAGGATATATATTTATGCCTGTTCTGAAGTACTATCCAAACACTAGACTGATGTTTAGAAATAACAAGTATCATAAGTAAATGCCATTGGTGATGTACACGTTACAATTCAAATTAACAGGTATAGATAAACTTTATTCATAATTTATTTTAAAGTCTTAAAAAATCTTAAAAAGTCACTACATGTCAAAGACTCAATCTGTCTGTATTTGACTGTGGATCAGGACTATCTCAGTCTATCCGATACAACAGAAAAGGTATCTCCCCTTTTTACCACTCTTCCCTACAGGTTTTTACAAGTTAAACTGTGTTTGCATTTCCCATCTCTTCCACACAAATTAATACCCTGCCCACCCATCTACCTTGTTTTTATCAACCCAATAAAAATTGGTGAAGAGTATCATACCATGAAGAAACAGATACCAAAATAAAACTAGAAGATTCAATTAGATATGTCGCTTAAAGACTACTTCCTCAAAAGATCAAAAATAAACTCATATTATTGTCCATATAATTCATCTTTGTCTTTTGCAGAAGTGGAACTGGGAGGGAGGGAGGATAATGACACATTGCACCACTCATTGCTGCCAAAAATAACACTTCTCCCTTTGTATGCACTGTATGAGAGATGTGTACGTTTAACACCGGAGCAAACATCAGTGTGCAGAATATATGTTCAGTGAACTTCCACATTGCCTTCCCAGTGCATAAACCAAGCCAAAACACACAAATATGGCAGGAAGATGCCAAGTAAATTGACATGGAAAATATAAGCTGTAGAGTTCAGATTTTTAAGATCAGCAATTAACAAGACATGACAGGGTGAGAACCATTTCACACATCTGAATGATGCTACAGGAAATCATAGTTAACAATGATAGTATTATGCACAGGGAGTGCCATCTGCAGACTTCCAATAACAACACCCACTTGTAATCAACCTTAAAGAAATAATGCAAGGCATACAAGAGACTAAAGAAGGCAATGCCCTTCATACTAATCTTCAAGCTGAATAAAGTTGACAATTCTGCCTCATCCTTCAGCAGTAGATCTACAGATGCTTTAATCTGAAGAAAATTGGACTCCCAATTATCTTCAGATCACATGTCTAAATCAAGCACAAATAAAGCTCAGCACCTCAACCAAGAGCTGACTCATATGCTAATCCCAATAAAAATCTCTATTGTGAGATTGTCCATCTGCATCTAGCACGTCTTTGTGTGGGAGGATGAGACAATGAACATTGACCTTCTACAAACAGGCGACCTATAAGGCAGTAATTCAATCATTACACAAATATATGCAGTCATCTTTCCAGTCCACAACACAGCCCATTTCTTTAGCATCCAATTTAATACTTTTTGTTCTCCCATCTGCAACTCATGTGGTATCTTCTTCCCTTAAAATTTCCCAAGTAACATTTTGTATCTCAACTCTCCTATGCATGCTACATGTCTGGTCCATCTCATCCACCACGATTTGATCATCTTAATAATATTTGGAGACTTCTGTCCCTATTTTTGCAATGAAACCTTCCAACACAAATTCCATGAGGTACCAGAGAAATGATCTAACACACACTCTAGTTCCTTATAAATGTTATCATTTGTATTCAGTTGTGCTACAAATTAATAAAGGAGTCTCTTCAATTCCTATCATTATGTACACACATCTTATCTCCTTTCATAAAATAAAGCAGTAGTATACCGCCTGATGCATAACAGAAAGTTACACACATCATTATCAGAATACTAGCTCTATGGATTGACATAAATAACAAATGCTATATGCCAGATTGTTTGCTTGCAATAGAGTTGAAGGGAACTTGAAACCATGAGCTAATTCCTGTGCAGTATTTTATATAATTATCTTTAGGCTGCATCCAGATGCCAATACACCCTCCCTTATCTCTTATCACAACAGGATGATGTGTCAAGCAAATGCATGCCAGAACCTTTCCCCTACACTGCTTTATGATAGGAAGAAACCCATAGATAAACCACAAAACAAACCAGCGCGAACACATACTGGAGCTTCAGAGAAATAAACAGCAAAAAAAATTTAAAAGAAAATTAAATTAGAAGATGCCAGAAATACATTTCTAACATGACCCAGTCACCCCACAGCTTTAAGCAATAATTAAAATAGGAGTTTTAAAATCATTTGATGTAAAATGCAGTGTTACTTGTGCATAAAACAAATCATAAAATGAACTACCAGACCAAGAATAGAATTAAATCAGACAAGGTAGGGTTGGATAGGTCCACAGATAAGCAATATATGGACAACAGGAAAGAGATGGAGGGACCTTGCACCACTGTTATAACAATGAAATTAGATTAGATTGTTGCAACAATGGCCCTGGACATCAAAATTACATTTGTTATTTCCTTTGGCTGTCTTGGTGATGTCATCATCCCAATTATAGTATAAAAAACACCTTTGAAATGTTATTGTATTTCAAAGACTGTATTTTTTCAGTCTTGTAAAATTATACTCCAATTTTGCTCAAGTCTTCCATGCAGACTATTTGGAATAATTTGTAAGTATAAACATATTATACCGTCCATGTTTCTCACAAACCATTTCAGTCACAATCACGATCATAACTAATCCCAGTAGAACAGGTTCCCTCAACAAATAAAAAATAAAAAAATAATGAATTAACAAAAAATGTTTAATGTACTCACAATTCCTGATGTCTGAAATGAAGACTGCGAGACCTCGCATCCCATCTCCTCGCACGGCCGGCATGCTTCCTGGGTCACGTTTGATAGATCACCTCCTAATTTAACATAAAAATCAAAACATTATAAAATAATTTAAAGAGTAAAGCAAACATCTACATGTACAAATAAAATGAAATTGTGACATTCTTACTAATGTTATCTGACATGCATACTCCCAGGTAATATGTTTCAACTGTTCGTCACAACAGCAATGAAGAACACTAAAAGATTTTTCTTGGGTCAGTTCTGTCCCAGTCTAACATAAGGATCTCCATTAAATCCCCTTCAGTATTCTTCTGCTCAATCTTACAATGAACTCTTACTGCAAGATAATACTCCAAAAAAATTCTATATGTAGGCCTGCTTGTTTTGCTAATGCGTTAAAAACACTGTAATTCTCATTTCCCAGACACTTCATTTCTCTGTGGTGCAAATATGGGAACTAGCAATTAAACAGCCAGGCTAATGTTTTTGTGTAGCAACCGGCACACTGATGCATGCTAGATCACGTGACCACAATATTCAGCCGTTTTGTGTCAGTCATTAGGATTCAGTTTGTTTCCTGGTTACCATAAGTGTTTTATTTGCAGTGCTCTGTCTGCCAAAAATAGGAGTGATAAAATATTAAGAGTTTACTGCTGAATATAATCAACAAATTTATGGTGGAAATGGAGAATAAAGTCACCAGCATTAAGAAAACAATAAACCAATTTCAGTGAGAAAAAATCAGTGTAAAGGACACAGCATTTATGTGAATTAAACTATTTCAAGATGTAAAAAGATGTTAAACATGACAAAAGATACAGGCATCTTCAAGATCTCATTTAAATGT